AGTGTTGTAAGGCTTGAGTGTTCCTTGTAACTGATGTTAGTGGGACAGTTTCAGCTACTAGTCCTTTCTTTCTTTCTTTTCTTATTGTTCTTATCCTAGGATATGCCGCCAGGGGCATACTTGTAATTTTGCCTTTTTTATAAAGATTAGTATAAATAGAAGACTGGCGGCTGCCAGTACTGAGTTTGTTTTTCTTTCTATCATCCATACCTCTCTTCTCTCTCTCTCTCAATCATCACAAGCAACAACAAAAATCACCTTTTATCTATAAAGAAAAACAATTTGCAATCATGTGGGTACTGAATCTATGTGGCCTATATGTAAATTCTGGTTGATTATGTCAACAATCAAGAGGGGCTTCCCATAATCCTTGTCATAGTTCATGAGCACTACCCTCCCAATCTTCATGTACTGCTTGAAAGGCATTTTCTGGAATTGTGATAAAAGCTACTATGATGATGAGGGGTAGGGTGTAGGGGAAAGGTGTTCCCTGTCTCCTATATGTTGATTGTTGACTAGAAATACAGGTTTTGCGGGGTTTGTTTGTATACTTACAGGTCTGTTCATCCTTGTTTGGGAACTTTATAGCCTTGAACATGATATTAATGCTGCTGCATTTTTATTAATATAAACATTAATAAGCAATTCTCTCTAGTTGAAGTTTTCTTTTTATATGGTTATATGGTTTCATCCATGATTAGATCCATTTTCAGGGGTTACAATATTGGAATTCGATTGATTGATGAGTTTTTGACGAAGTCCAATATCTCCAGATGTGTTGACTTCAAGGAGACAGCTGAAGTAATTGCAAAGGTCTCTTCAAACTTCCTTTGTTTCATACATACAATATTTTCCAAGCATTGAAGTTTTCTTTAGTTTCATTCTACAGTTTAAGCTGATGGAATTTTTATCATTAACTAATCTGAAATTTTTATTTGAGTATCAGGATGGTGAAAGTACAAATCCAAAAGTTCAGTTATCTGATGATATAGTTTTAGTGCATTTAAATTACTATTACTGTAAAACCTGGAAAACAAAGTTAATAAACTGATTTTCTGTTAATTCCTTTTAAGAGATTAGTAAAACATATATTCAAAACATTGGGAGACAATTATCTGTTAGTACAAGTCACTTCATCACACATTGAGGCTGTAAAGCTATGTTATTCGGATATGAAAAGGAGATGTCTAGGTATGGAATTTATACTAAAAATTGAAGTATACCACATAGACATCATCATTATCATGTAAGCCTTATCCCAACTATATGGGACCAGCTACATGAACCTGTTTAGCTCCTTTTTTTATAATAAAATAAAAATTCATTTAAAAAAAGAGAGTACAAGAGGAAGGTAATCAGAGAGAAGATAAAACAGCCCCCAACTTCAAGAACAACTCATATCCTACAAGAACCATGAACGAAAGACCCAAGACAAACAAATGACAACACTCAACATCCTTTTAAAAGATTAGTACACAGAGCAGCTCCAAAACTCCTCCCGAAGAAGAAAAAAAGTATTGCTCCCTATCTAAATCCTCTCCCTGACCTTTTCCCTCAGTCCACACTTCTCCCCTTCCCTTATAATGGTCTTCATATGCCTCTCCTCCTTATCTCTCTTCTCACATTCTTTGGAAGCTCTTCTTGCAAATGCCTCTCCACCTAAGAAAAATAAACCCAAAGCCTTACTGATAGTGCGCATATATGTGACCCAATCTGAGCTGCCATGTGTTCCTAAATGAAACACTCTAGGAACTCGTTGATGACCTGGACTGGCCTGGCCACCAATCCGATCAACTGGTCTCACCCGGATGCCTCCAATGTAACTAGACCCTAATAGGGACAATCACCAAAAAGTTCAGGCCAGGCCTGATAGCTGTCTTCCAACAGGATTGGAACTCCTAGTCGAGCATGACACCTCTATAAATAGTTAAGACATCCTTGTGAAAAGGTAAGCACACTATCACCCTCTTTTAGTCCTGACTCACTTTGTCCTTTGGCTTTCATTGCTGACCTAGCCTCCTTTGCTCAGTTTGACGACCGCTTGCTCATCTACCAACTTAAACATCGGAGAGTTCTCCTTGGGGACACACTTCAAGAGTCTCTACCTTTCTTGTAGGTGCCTATGGGAGTAGCTTGGTTTGCCCAACCTTCTCAGCTCGTCTAATTCTCAAACTCCTCCCTCTCCATTATTTGTTGCTCGAATTCCGACTGCAATAGGTTGACATCATTTATGGAAGTTGAATAGAAAAGCCTGACAACCATACATCGGGAGACTCACACCTATACCAATAGATTCACAGACCTTGTCTCACTATCAGTAGGTCTCCATTGTTGCAAAGAATCGGCCACAAAACCAACCACAACCAAACCCATCACAAGCAACACAGGAGAACCAATCCATCATGCAAGAGTAATTCTAGAATCTCCAGTTTTGGGCCAAAGATCTCCTTGCCCTACTGACTCGTGACTCGGAGCACCTCAGCAACAAGGTTAGGGACCGGTTCCCCAGACTGGCCAACTTGATCATCTCGATATCCGAGAAGAACGATTGCCTTTGAACAATCAGCATCCTTAGTCCCTGGGTGCTCAGATCCATCATCAAGATGACCAACAACAACCTTCGCAGCGGAAACAACAACCACAAGACTATGCTCTGGACCCACTGAGAGGGTGGACGTCCAACTAGAACGCCCCTCTAACACTCTCCAAGACCAAGATTGACCCAATTAAGGACAGACATAGCTAGTCTCCAAAATTGGGTCAAAAACAAAACCTCGGTCAAGAGCTCAAAGACATCCGAGTTCAGCCTTCAACAATCAAGAGAGGGAGAAAGTCACAGCTCAATTTCGAACAATAATTATCAAACTCGCTCGCTTTGCTCACTCGCCTCCGCTTCAACAAGGCCCCCCCTTTCAACTAGTGCTATGCATTCTTCATTCTTCTTAATATAAAACATTTTGATTAAAAATAAAGAAAAATGAGATCCTCCTTCCTCTTCTTCCTCCTCACCTCCCTCTTAAGAAGTCTTACACTTCCTTGTGTTCTTGAGGCTTACACCTCTTACGTTCTTAACCATGCCTCACACCTCTAGGTAGTCAAGATTTAAAATGTCAATGTTAGTGGAAATGTTATCCATCCAAATATAAGAAACATGTCGGAAATATCGTATGGAAATTTTGTAAAATTATAGACATGGTGGAAACATTGTAAAATATGGAAAATATATAATGATATTTTATCAAATGATAAAAGAAGCGTAGGCACACCTTTTTAAATTATTGTCTTGTTTCAAATCATTAAATAAAGCTAAGAAAACAAGGTTATAGACAAAAGAATATGTTTTGAAGTTGCTCTGTAAACCTTAAGATTCAAAGCTTCATGATAGAATGAGTTAAAGCAAAATTTTAACTCAGAGAAAATGTAAATGGTTGTAACAGATCAACCAATAAGTCTATTACACAAACAAAAAACTAATAATTAATTTCATGTTTGAAATTAATATCGAGCTAGCTCGAAGCGGTAATCTTGAAAGTTAGGCAGAAGATAACATTGTTGCTTCACATATCTACAATATTGCCACCAACTTATGTCATAATACTATTTCTTGCACTCCACATAGTACTAGCAGTGTTCATTGGGGAATATGTCGATTCTAGTAAAATTTTGGGTTGCTACCCATGGAAGTGGAAATGGAAATGTGTTGTGGGAACCATCTCTTGTACTCCACATAGTGCTGGTAGTGTTCATTGGGCAAATGTCGATTCTAGTAAAATTTCATGTTACTAATGGAAATGGAAAGATGTCGTGGAAATATTAGGGACATTTTAAACCATGTAGGTAGTGGAATGCCTCGTGTCACGCCTCTGCATTTTAAAACATAGCTCTTTAGAGGTGTACAAGGGCAGCTGTTTGTTGGACGACTTGGGAAGAAAGGAATCAAAGAATCTTTTTAGGGAATGAGAGAAGCAGGGGTGCCTTAATGGAAATCATTACCATTAGAGTGGTCTGTTGGGTGAAGTTCTTGAAACTCTCTGAGGACTTTCTTGCTGGTGATTTGATGAGGAAGTGGTTTGGAGCTTCTTCTTCTCCCTTTAAGCCATTAAGGTTGTTATTAGGCGATCTTGGTCCCCACCTAATGGTGACTTAATAAAGCTGAATTTTGATGGTAGTAGTGAAGGAAATTCAGGTCCTTCAGGTATTGGAGGAGTTTTAGGGATGATGAAGGAAGAGTTATTGTTCTATTCTCTGGTCCAATTGGTGTGAGTGACTCACTGAGGGCTGAAATAATGGCTGTGTTGGAAGGGGTGCAAAAAGCTAAGGTATTGCTTATCCGTAAATTACTGATTGAAGGGGACACAATGTTGGTTATAAATTGGCTGCAAAAGGAGGAGGATGCTGGCTGGTGGGGCTACATCTATGAGAGAAGGGGAATTAGAAGGATGTTACAAGAAATGGAGGTCATCCGACAATGGGTGAAAAGAGATGCTAACTTCTTTGCTGATTCTTTGGCTAAACAAGGGGTGGGAAGAGTTCAACTTTTTCAGGCAATGTTGTAATCATATTTCTAATTATGGGAGAGCTAAGAGAGTTTATCTCTCCCTGTTTTCATTCTTGTACTTCCGTGTTTTTAATTTAATGAATCCATTTCAGTTATTGATAAAAAAACAGGTTTTTTTACAGGGTTATCTTATTGTCATTGTTACAAAATTATAGGCTGTAAATATGTAGTATTAGCCCAATTAGGAATAGCTTGATTATAGGAATTATTCTTTCTTTGATTTTCTTCCTATTTAGTATCTACAAGGCTGTATGATTTTCTCCCTTTTTTGTATCTGCAAGGCTGTATGATTTTCTTCCTTTTTTGTATCTGCAAGGCTGTAKGRYTTTCTTCCTTTTTAGTATCTACAAGGTTGTATATATATGTACTACWTTCTCAATAGAAAGACATCAATTTCTTCTAATTCTTGTTCTATCACAGTCATGTTAATATCTTGCTAACATTTTGTACGGTTTATACACAAATGGGTGTAAATGGTGCGTTGTCTAATTAGGTTTAATTAAGTTCAGAAGTAATCTTTTTGTTTTTAATACAATACCTTACCTTTTCAAAAGAAAAAAAAGGCTGTATGTTAAGAAATAGCAGATTTGGACTATATGTTATGTTTAATCACCAGAAATTCAAACAGCAGGGATAGTTAGAGGGCCAGTGACATGATGGATTCTGTTGGTAGGTAGAGTGTAACAATAGAATTTTTGAAGGGAAGAAGTTGCAGACTAATTTGTTATTATTTTTTAAGCCTACATCAGTAAAGAATTTATGAGTTTTCCATCAGCACTTCAGTATCCATTGGTAAAGCACCATATGGAATAATGATGTTTTAGTAGAATACTTTTTGTTTGAGGGAAGTTCTCCCTCTTTTTAATACAAATTCATTTTACCTCTCGAAAAAAGATGAATTTGTAGGGCATGCCACAGTTCAGTAGGATACAAGGTGAAGGAATGTCATGCGTAGTTTCAAATGGAGAGCTTTATCAAGTTAAATTAGGTTGAGATTTTGTGTTACTTGCGTTGATGATTCCAAATTATCAATATTAACTCAAACTTTTAGAAGTGGAAATATTTTGATGTATTCTACCTTGTAAGAAGCATATTTACATGGGAGTTGACAACCATTGTGAAGTTTGCTCATAAAAAAAAAACACTATTATGTGATTTATAATAAAGCTACCTCAGAAGATACAAATCCTAAAATATCCATACAGTTTATATAAATTATTATGATATGCATTGCTAACAATGTTTATTTAAGCAAGTAAAAAAGCAATTTACTCAGAGTAAGCAGATTTTTATTGGAAAACATATTAATGACACAAGTAATAGTTGCAAACAAGAGAATTATGGTATATTTAAGTTTATTTATGCAGAAGCATCACCCTGTTTTTTACATGTAAATACAACATAATGTTCATCATGGCTAGATTTCAGAAAGTAAAGAGATCAAGTTCTCTTAATATAATGCACATCATAGAATTATTATATTTCACTTTTATTTGTAATGTTATTCTAATTCCCTAAAGATGTAACCATAAGTTATCACTCTTAACCCACTTGAAATTTTTGACAGTGTTTGGATTTTCATGAATCATGATTCAATTGAACAGGCTGGCTTTAAAATGTTTCTGGGGGTCACTGCATCTGTGACCAACTGGGATGCTGATGGAACAAGTTGCAGTCTTGTTTTGGAGGATAATCCCTTGGTAGATTTTGTTGAGCTTCCGGATACATGCCAAGGTCTATATTATTGCAATATCTTAAGTGGAGTTATCAGAGGGGCTCTAGAGATGGTGAGTTTCTCATGCGTTTGATGAATTTCTCACTTTGTTTCCTTAATTAATTGAATCTTGAAACAGTAAATGAAAACCAATAGGGCATTTTACCTTGGAACATGACAGCGATGCCAAATAAGTGTCTGCAAATCTGTTGCTTGCCAACCTCTATGAATCCTGTCTCAGAATTATGACCGGTCTAAATATGAAATAAGATAAATAACGTAAAACATAATAGAAGGTAAGATATTAAAGAAACATTTGGAGAATCTAAGTAGCAGCATGTTATTGGATCTGCCCTTTCTCATGATACTTGTCTAAGAGTGTCATGAGATCTTTAAGAGATCAGTCCCAGTGTCAAAAGTTTTCACCAGGCTGAAGGAGGGTTTATTTGGGACGAATCCTGTTAAGAAGACGAAGAAAACAAAGAAAATCTTTAAGATAAGGAAAGAGGTTTCATTCCAAGTTGCTGAAGTAAATGGATAACCAGGTCTGTTGTTTTGTCAGAGGTTTAGGGGTTTTATAAATTTGGGAGTTGTCTTTGTTGGGCTGAACGAAAGATTGTACTATTTGTTGAGGGTTAAGTTGTAAGGCTGATATGGGTATTGTTTTCGGAAAAGGTTAGGCCTTGTTTTGTATTTCGAATATTTCAGGGATGCTTGGAATGGGATGTTTTTGGTTTCTTCCTGGGTTGTTTTAGTCCTTTTATGTCAAGCATGATTTCTTATCACCTCTCCTTATAATGTTCTTTTTATTCTTGAATAAATTTTCCTTTTATTTATTTTCAAAAAAAAAATGCTACTTGTCTAAGAGTCTTAAGTGTCAAAGTTTTCTGCTGACTTTAACTTGGGGCACTTCCCTTTAATAACACTGCATATTTTATTAATATCTGTATGATATACAAATTGTGCGCCAAGCACTTAGGTAGATAGCCTCATCTATTTTCCTTTCACAAGTTCCCTCCTTGGGGAATTGAACCCCAAAATAACTTATTTCAGTTTACCCCTTGTTTTACTAGACTATCAATGATGCTGTTGGCTGATTGCAGCATCCATTTGTAACTTGAACTCAGTTCCAAAGCTACCTTTTGATCTGTGTTACCTGGATACAGAAAGGAAATGGCTGGATATGGTAGTAGACAAAATATTTACACTAGAAGCTGAATTATCCAACACAATATGGCACCATTATACAGGTATTGGGATCATAGTTTTTTATTTCCCTGAAAGTGTGTCTATATTCCTATGAGATAATGTAGTCCTATTTTTGTCAACCCATAACCACATGACAATCCCCCTCAATCATATCATTGTAGTCATTGTAGTTGAGGAGGGATTTTTCTATCCTTGAACCCTGATGTACTGACCATATTTTTCCGGGTTTGAGTTACCAACCCCAACTGGCCTACAGTAAACAGCTAAAATGTTCGCTTCCCAATTTTTGGGAACACGCCACCCCCCCAAAACTCTATAAGGTCCTAGATTCCCTACACTGCAGCCATCAAAGTTCATCTTTATGTTGTTTGGGGAAGGGGGATTCAATAGAATAGAGGTGCTATTTTTTTTGCTGATGAAGAGAATGCCACATTCTGTCAATTTCTTATGATATCATCTGTATGCCAAATGTCAAGTGTCACTTCTCCAAATGTTGGGTGCACCAGACCCATTAGTTTGAGGTGTCCTGGTAAAAACATAAATAAGTTGCACATGTTAATATGGAGTTGTGGTTTTAGTTGGTTGGAATTGTTTAGTTCTGATATGTTTTGTCACTTTTCTTTATACAAGACACGTGCCTGGTGTTGTATGGACAAATTTCACAGTGCTTTCTGGTGTTGTTTCAAGGCATGCATTTCCCCTGAGCCCAATTTCTGGTGCACACACCAAGGCATGTGCCTGGTGCGTCTTGCAACTCATCCAAGGTGCATTTCTTTTCTGTCTTTTCTGCCAACATTTCTATCTATAGACATTGTATGGACAAATCTCAGTCTTTTCTGGTGTTGTTTCATCACCCTTCTTTATACAAGACATTCTTCATCAAATAATATCTAATTCTTATCCTAAAATAGAATGAATTGCTACTACAATCACAAATCCAATCTCCATATATGCATGGCCAATCCACCAACTACCCTTTGCATGAACTTGTTTGGGCTTGTCTTATGGGGCCTTTAGGGCCGATCTTCTAGAATTAGGAATGGAAGGTTTAACATGCTTGAAATAATGCAACTAGAAGATAAATAAAAACAAACAGATTGAAAGTTTCATATGCTTGAATTATGTAAATGCCTGATACACTTTATTGTAATTCAGATATGTTTGCTTTTACTTCTACAGTTTCACTCTGAACAGATTTTATATGTTATATTTATATATTTTACTTTGAGACAATGGGCTTTTTAAGACATTTAATTTCTTTTAAATTCCAAGTTTGCATTTTTTGTATTAATATTTTGTTATATTTTTTGTATATTTTCAAAAATTTGTGCCTCATTTCAAAAAGGTGTGTGCCTTGCCTTATGCCTCGGTTGCTGAAAGGTCATTGTGCTTTCCTTGCATATTGTGCTTAAAAGGAGAGCTACAAGATGGAAGAGAACTTAGAGGTGGAAAAAAGAGAAGATTGCTAGAGGAAGGCACCATAGAAAGAAAAACAAGGCTGAAAGTGCAAGAAAGTAGCAAGGCACAATCATGTTGGATGAATGAAATGTTGTATGACTAAAAGGTTTGTTGTTGGAGCATGCCATACTCTTACTGATGGGCATGAAGCAACAAAATGAGCAGTGGCAGAAGACTACTTGGCAGATATAAATAAATTTGAAGGGCAAATTCATACAGATGGTTGAAAATTTCACTCCTGGGAGAGAACAGTGTTTGTATTCCAGAAGGGCTGAGGAAAATGAACTGGTCAAGAGAGGCAGGCGAAAAAAGGAGCATAGAAGCCTTATTCATCAAGCAGAGCAAACCAAACATGAAAGCCTCCATATTAACAGTGACAACTAATGAAAAAAAAAACATAGAAGTGATAGAACAATGTTTTGATAAGGCTTGAGAGAAAGATCAGTGAATGGAGTGGAGTGGAAGGATTCATAATCAAACATATGAAGATTTTGCCAATGAAGATAAAACCCTTCAGTGACAGGGCCGTGCTGATCTTAGTTAATGATTCCTCTGAAGAAATTTATGCTGCATCGGTTGAATCACCATGGGGAGACATTGCTGATAGCTAAAGGGTCTCCTGCCAATGTAGTGCCGCATATCCTAAACCAAGAGCGGTAGGGATAGGATTCAGAGAACTACCATTTAATCTTTGGACAACACCAAGTGTTTAAAAATGGTTTGGAGATTTCTGTGGGGGCTTAATGGAGGTAGAGGAATCAACTACAAATATGAACAATATATGAGGAGAGAATCAGGGTAAAAGGTGAAAACAGGGACTCAGTTCCAAGATATTTAGAGCTACTGTATTAAAGCATACTACAAGCTTCTTTTATTGTCATCGGCTGAAGAAAGAACATGAGAGAAGTTGTGTGAGGTTGAAGATGATGATGTGGTGGTAGGGAGAAATTTGGCAGGAGAAGAGAGGCAGTCAACTTTCACAAATGAGGGATGATTGACCGAATGGATAGAAAAGCCAGTTGGTCTCCCTCAATTTACTGACCTACCAAGGTTTAAAGTATTGATACACCCAATACGCATGAGAAAGTGTATCGGGTGTTTCGATATGTAATAATTTTTTTCTAGTTTTTTTTCTCAAAATTTCTCTTACCTGTCAGGTTGGGAACATCAAATGACATAAACATCAGCACTTCAATCATGATGTAACCTTAGTTATGTGCCGCAAGGGCACTTTTGTCTTTTCTTTTATTTTTATTTTTATTTCTTATGTTGTCTCCCTAACATATAAATACCAAGTCTAGTGCCGCCAGCTACACTTTTTGATCTCAATCGTCTCCTCTTCCTTCTCTCTTCTCTTCTTCACTCTTGATCGAAATCATGGTATCAGAGCAGGACAGCACTCCGTAAAAGGTGTTTTATCTGATCGAAGGTCTTACCGATCACATACCTGGACTGAGAATGGGAAAACTAGTTCGACCTTGCACTGAGAACTGTTGCTGGACCCTATTCTATTATTTCTAAACAGAAACTGAAAAGAAAATCACACTCAGAGATTGGTGGATGATTGACTGAGTTTTTTTCTAGATGTCGGTGGCTGTTTTTTTCTTCTTCTCTTCCATTGTTCTCTGGACTGTAACTTCCAAAAGTCAGTCGAACTGATCAGGAACCTAGCATGAAGTGATTTTTATCATTGGCTCTTGGTATTGTTACCAAGAACATCCTAAAATCTGCCCTAGCCGAATGGTGTAGGTGTGTTTAATGACTTCTGTGGGTCGGTGATCCAAAACTGTGTGGATGAAGAACCTGTGTAGGTGCTATGTGTGGCTTAAACTAGCCCTTGTGAGGTCAGTTAGACCTGTAAATCTGTGACAGCAGGTGCAGTGATACTGTGACTGCAATTTGACTTTAAATCTTACAGTGAGGGTTGTGTGTTTGTGAGTGTGTGGACTGCGGGAGAAGGGTTGTAGGTCTGAAACTGCTGCTAGCAGCCTTTGTTATGGCCTCTAAAGACTCTGCAACCTCTGGAACTTCTTTCAACAAAGGAGGAATGAATAGCAGTCATGACTCTATGAACTTTCCAACGACCATTACTCCCTTAGATGGCAAAAATTATTTGACATGGTCTAAGGAGATGCGACTGTACACCACAGCCCAGGGTAAGGCAGGGTATATCAATGGAAAAGTGAAGGAACCTAGGACTGGTACTGTTGAATATGATAAGTGGGACCAGCAAAACTGCATGATTATGTCATGGCTTTTGACTTCTATACTACCATCTGTTAAGCAGAATTTTATGTGGGCTGAGACAGCCAAGGAAATATGGGAACAAGTAGAGTCAACTTACTCCAAGCAGAGACGCTATGCTAGAATCTATCAATTGCAAGCCAAGTCTGCAACATGTAAACA